TAAATGACTTTCATTGAAGAAAATGCCTATTTAATTCTTTTACATGGTTGTTCTTTTGTTGAAGACTTCAATAATTTCAGACTGTGCGGCTCGGCTGCATCTCATGCAAACACGAAACTTCTAGCTGCTAAATACATGGCATGAAAAGTTCGACTTCTAAAAGCCACTGAACCAGCTTTCGCTCTCTGATTCTGAGAATGAAAAAACAAATAAATAGAGTTGTCAACTTGCTGCCAACCGGCTCAACAGTATAATTAAGCTTATGTTTCATGGCAATCAACCCAGAAGAGTTTCGTTTTAAAACACGGTAAAACCCACTGGTAAACAAAACAAAACATTGTGTGTTGTCGTTTTCCAAATAAAGTTTGAATCGGCTTTAACACATGTAGACTGAGAAACTGAAGAACTGAAAATTAGAACTACAATACACAAGCTTGCAATGATAACGCTTTAATTTTATGTCTTAGTTTCAGCCAGGTTAAGTGAAAAATAACAGTCAAAAACTTTATTTTCGTGAATGAAAATCAGTTTACCTGACGTTCTAGCCAAAATTACACACTGAGTTATTATCATCCTACCTTTTCTGAATCTAATCGACTAATTGTTTCAGTGATCTGTGCCTGGTTATCCATAAAAGCAATTTCAATAAGTACAAAATAGTCAAAAACACGAGCAGCATAAAGCAGAACAACTGAACCACAAGCTGCACACAGAATTAAGCCGAGAGCGCGCGGGAGACTTTGATCTAACTGGAAAGTGTGACTGAAAAAGAGACCGGAAATGCTCAACCTGGCGCATGCGTAGACGTTTTGCCGCGGTGTTGGTCTTACACCAATTAGTACTCGAAACAATCTCGTCCCCAGCCTACTGCGGTCCCTAGGCGTTCTCTCTTGCTCCGTTGTCCGCGCGAAGTCTGGGAAAGGGCGGGCGTATCTCTCGGTGACGTCACAGCTCGGATCTCCATCGCTGTAAAAGTCTTTCTTGGTCGACGTCGTGGCATTTTCGTCAGTAGTTTCGCGTGAGAAAACATGAATCATCATGTCGATTGCAGAGGAAGAAAGAGAAGGTCAAGGATCCAACGAGCCTACGTGGATTCGCTATGTGGATTTTTCCAGTGTCTAGGTAGGACAAAAGCTTAAAAACCTGAATCAAGCAGTATACATCTAAGTAATTTAGAGTTTAAACCTTTTTAAATGATGCAGTTAAAAAGTAGTAAGCGTAGATTGCAGCGCACGCCCAGAATAACATCAGTTCAATGAAAAGAATGGGCGTTTCTAAAACGAAGATCCAAAAACGAAGACCTAAGACCTAAGACCCCATGGACTAAAAGGAAGACCCCATGGGCTAAAACGAAGACCCCTTGGACTAAAACGAAGACTCCATGGACTAAAACGAAGACCCCTTGGACTAAAACGAAGACCCCATGGACTAAAACGAAGACCCCTTGGACTAAAACGAAGACCCCATGTATTAAAACGAAGACCCCTCTGACTAAGACGAAGACCCCATGGACTAAAACGACGACCCCTTGAACAAAAAAACGAGGACCTCTTGGACTAAAACGAAGACCCTTTGGACTAAAACGAAGACCCTTTGGACTAAAACGAAGACCCCGTGGACTGAGACGAAGACCCCTTGGACTAAAACGAAGACCCCATGGACTAAAACGAAGACCCCTTGGACTAAAACGAAGACCCCATGGACTAAAACGACTGATGCTAACCGCTGAGGGCAATGCCCGCTCCCGTAATTTGTTACGGCGATTTGGGAATGTTGTGGAATTTCCTCGCAGTATTTAGTTGTGATATTCAAGTCTATCACTTACCTTCCCTTCAGGTTTCTTTGAAAATATTTTGCATGTTTTAAACCACTTTGGAAGTGTTTACGGTGGATGACGTCCAAAGCTTTTTGCAGGCTCATGGTGAGAGCGGAGCCCTCGTGGCCATGTGGTAAAACCGTAATGATGGGATGAAGGTCCTAAGTTCGACCCTCGTCGGACATGCGTGTTTTATCCTTGACTTTTTCCTTCTTTTTCTTTTATTATTATTTTTTTTATCGTAGTTATCTTAAAAACAACTGTGTAAGCCGTAAAGATGAGTCACTTTTAACAATAGAGGACAGAATATCGTAACAGCGTATGGCAGGGATATAAATAAAACAAATAAAACCCGGCATAAAGACAAATGAACCTCGCTTAAATGAAACGCGAAATGTTAACCTTTACTCGAGTAATATTCTCGATCGAAGGCTTTTTTTTCTCTATTGATGAGGTAAAAAGTAATAAATAGAGCGCTAGGTTCCTCTCTCCTTGAATTCGTCAATGAGAAATGTCTCCTTCTTATTTCCTCCCTATACTACGTTTTGTCACTGTTTTGTTTTTCAAATGCATTGATACAGTTCTTTGACATTTTGGAAAGCTGGAGCACGCAGTTATATTTTCTTAACCCATTACACCCGGGATGACACCCAAATCATCCGACATTGAATTTTGAACCATAAAATATCAGAAAGCTAATGGACCCCCTCCTTCCCCAAACCCCAACGACGCGCCCAAAACACGTTCGGCGGAAGTCTTCAAGACAAATCCTGTCATAAGCCTTTTTGATTGTCAGGCCTCCCATGGCCACGCTGATGACCTTTGGGCTTATCCCGGGGGAGGTACTGCCATATATAGGCTATATAGGTATGTGCCGCTGTGAAGCACGCCAATCCTCTTCACGGAGGGCGCATTATAACCACACGACACACTAGATGACCCTTTTTTCAAAGATTCAAAGAAACCTGAAGGAAAGGTAAGTGATAGACTTGATTATCACAACTAAATACTGCGGAGGAAATTCCACAACATTCCCAAATCGCCGTAACAAATTACAGGAGCGGGCATTGCCCTCAGCGGTTAGCATCAGTCGTTTAAGTCGATGGGGTCTTCGTTTTAGTCCCAGCGGTCTTCGTTTTAGTCCAAGGGTTCTTCGTTTTAGTCCATGGGGTCTTCGTTTTAGTCCATGGGGTCTTCGGTTAGCATCAGTCGTTTTAGTCCATGGGGTCTTCGTTTTAGTCAAAGGGGTCTTCGTTTTTGGGTCTTCGTTTTAGAAACACCCGAAAAGGATGAATGTTTGTTAGCCTCAGTCTAGTTTACTGGTTTTTTACTATCTTCGTTCCGATTCCCAGCAAACAACAAACAAAGCACGTTATGACGCTATCTGCGTGCAAGAATGTCCGAATTTTAGTATTTGGGGCTACGGGCTCCGCAGCAAACGTTTTGAAGGCTCCAGGCTCTACAGTAAAATAACATTAGGCCCCAAGCAACGAAGCGATGGGACTCTAGGCTCCGCGGAAAACATTTTAGGGCTCCCGGGCTCCGGCCACCCCCGCTTTGGGACCCTGGCTATGGAACTTAAAGAAAGTAAAGAAGTTACATGTAAATGACAAAATCAGAGATTCAAGACAAACAAATATGTCTCCTGGGCATTATTTTTGGAAGTTGCAAACAGCAGAGATCAACTTTGAAAAACTGTTAGGCTGAAAAACCCTAATTTCAATCCCTTTCAATCTTTTTCAGTTTTGCCCATCCGTGGCATCTACCGTATCTGTTGTGATATTTTAACGTTCCTTTAATGTTTTAAACGGTTATTTTTATGTTTCTCTTAATAAACGGACATTTTGTAATTACTGTTGCGGAATTCTTAAAACCCTGCTCGGTGG